GCAGACAGTAAGACAAAAAACTGACAATAATTTGTTACAAATGAAGAAAACACATCCGTAGGATGCAGCTGTGCAGCGCTAACTCACCTCAAGATTTAAAAAGCCAAGATGGCCGACCAAATACGACAAAATTTGAAAATCTACTCTGGTGTCGAGGAAATAAATTTGGTGTATTAAAAGTGCTTGCAAAATCATTAGGAACACTGTCTTTGACGTCGATGAGTTTTTTAAAATCATAATACCGTATAGATTTAGAGAAAGTTAGTTTCCTTCATTCACTGTTATCACAATAACCTGTTTTTATGATGGCTAATTTCAATGTACGAGTGTCAGTGTTTATTAATGATGGTTACAGATATAAACTTAGTAACAAAATCACAGTCACTTGGACATGATTGGGTATGCAAAGACAGTCTACTTTCGATTGTACGGCTTTCAGATTTGAGTTCGCACAATCAATATGACGAATAAGAAATTTAAATTATTTTGACCTCAGAGGTGCAATGAATCATGTGTTACATTCATTACACTCTTAAAAGGAAGTTAATCACTGATAATCAGTAAGTCCTTTGCTAGCCATTCACTTGAAAAAACTATACTGCACTCGACTAGGTTGTAGTTGCTACCCTACTTCTTCCTCGCTTTAAATAGTTTACTGTTGTTTCTAGTATCAAAATACACTATTTGATATCTTTGATGTCAAAGTTTGATACTTTTGAGCTCTAGTTATTTTATTTCATTTAATGTGAACGATTAGGAGTGTGCAGTGATATACTTTTACACAATTGCTGAAATATAAACATTTATTATTGTACTTGATCCTGACAACAATTGCTATATTTTACACCTCTTGTTTATCTGTACTAAAGGATATCTCTCGAGCGCCAAGCGTGTTATTCCTATTCTCCTCTTTGCACGTATCCTGTGTGGACGTTAGCCGTTTGTACGCCCTCTTGCCTCGATATTATTTCGATATCACGTGGCCAGTATCAAATATACTTCTTCCTCTAGAATCGCCTTTTTATTGGATTCTTAGAGTATCGGGATTAACATTTGTTATCCTGAGAAAAAGTATAGCATACAAATCGCTATAAATGTATCGAATGCAAACATTTTGCATTATAACGTTCATTCCGCTGCTCTCAACTTCGTTAGATATATCGATTTGATGGATGGTTTTTGATATGATTTACGAATAAATTCATGAAATTGCGTCATTTGTGAGTGTTTCATGTTGTACGTTCGGATGCTTTACTCCGCAACTTATACTATATGGTATTGTTTAGTGCTAAACTGAAGGAATTTGCTACTGTAGTCACAGTAGACAGTCTCAAACTAAATAAACTAAATTTAGTCATATCTTGGATTAATTGATAAATGGTAATACTAGATACTCAGTATTAAATATATATGAGGATGCTTAGTTGTTAAGTGTACTTTTATTCATTTATAGTATTCACTAAGAAGCATTACAACTTTTGTTTGCACTCCTCATCAGGACCATACGTCAATATTTAGTCTCAATCAATCAGGTACTTGTTTAGTTTCAGTAAATAATATTTAATTTTAATTCAGTGCGAAAATCTTGCGGGATGATAATTATGGTAATCAATTAATCCATAAGGATAACGAATATTAACTTCGGTTCACTCGTCTTGATATACAATATGGCGTATGGATCTGGTACGAAAGATATAAGGTGAACAGCGTCTACTCTGCTACATAAGTACCAGTCTGCGTACAAACGAGAACCTTTGTAACAGCTTATCTAGTACCTATGAATAGTTGTAAGGTTAGAATATAAACACAGTACTCTGTACTTAGAGGGGCCTTTAACTTATCCTAATGATTTGAGGTGAGATTCATATTTTATGTATCTACTCTCTATGTCATATTCGTCTTCTAAAGTTATGGCTCACACCAGAGAATCCATCAAGCCAAATGCTGCACCTATCAAGCAAAATGTGGTAATTAGGGCCTAGATATGAAATGTTGTTGTGTAGAACAAAATAAATGTTTAAGCAAGTTCTCTTTACGGTATGGCCGCAAGTGAAATCGTAGTGATGAAAGATTCTTAACTAAACATGGTAATGGTGATGCAATTAGGCAATGATAAAATTTTTTATTTTGGCTAAGGAGATTATCAGTGTTTCCATCATGTTTAATGAGGAACCAGCTGTGAAAGCCTGATGCAGTGTTGTTCCATAAGGGTTCCCCAATAATGGATATCTGAGTTCTGTCGTGTTCTCTTGTCGTCACGACATCAAGGAAACGAATATTTTGCAAGTAGAAGTTATCATTAGTTGTTATAAGTGGGTTTTTTCCGTACTTGTACCAAACGAATAGGGGATTTCTCTGCAATTTCCTCCTTTCGACCGTAAATTAGGTCGTTGAATGTAAAATGTAAGCTAAAAGTCCTTTATATTAGTAATTCCTTTAGTTGAATTTCTGGTAGTTCAGTGGTAATCTTATTATCATTTATTTATTCTCAGATAAATTTGGTCTCAGCGACTCAGCATCACTTACAATGACTTATTTCGTGTGGTTCACAAACTCAAAGGTATCATTTTTAGTATATATACAAATACGTTTTCTTATGATATCCAGAAGATCAGCCAGCTAGAGTGGTAGGGGATCCGAACATATGAGTTGCTGATCTGAAAGCCAGGCCAGATTTGCGCATTTTGCGAAGACTTTATACTCGTGGTATTATTAATCCAGTTGACCCTATACTCTCAGTGATGTCATCGTTATTTACTTAATCATTTCTTCTCTCTAAAGAAATTCAACTAGCTACTTTTTGATCATTATGGCCTTAATCTTCTGATTGCTTTTTTGGTGAACTTGGTGTCATTTGATAATAAGTCTGTCGTCTGGTCGACATAGGTTTTACAGCTTAACGGTACCACAAATTTGTCTAGCAAAAGTTTTATTATAACTGTTATTGTAATTATCTCCGTTTGAAAGAGTATACGTTTGCGACTGTACAGTGTTGAAAACTAATTCAATGGGAAGAGAACTCTCCGTTCAATCAATCTTTCGTGATTTCTGTCACAGTGAGTAAATTCTGTTCATTATTCAGTGAAAATCTGTTTTCTTCCCCTCCATAATGTATCCTGTTTGGTAGCTCATGAGTTGGATACAGATGTGTTTATTTCACCTTTTCTCCGATAAAACTGAACCTTGTTACCACCTTTGCTGCCTTTAATTGTTAGAAAAACTAATCTGGTCTGAGAAGTAGGTCACTTGGAACGTATAGAAGATGTTCATTTAGTTACTATCACTTGAATGATTTTCTAATCCTGATTTTAGTTCTTTGGGTGAAGTTTGGTGTTATAGAACAACCTCTGTGTAGTTGTGCATCTTTGAGCATTGTAGTGAAACAATCTAGGTTAAACACTAGTGCTCTCCACTAATGGATACCTGAACTTAGTAGAAAAGTCATTAACTTTTACTTCAGCTATGAATGCAGCTAGAGTTGTTTTATATGAGTTGAACATTCGGCATTAGTTAAATTAATAATCTTAAAGAAAAAGATGACATTGGTTACATGGCAGGTCACATAGAAAATGAGGCTTTTGTCAGTGAAGATTTCAGCGAGAATTCCTTGATTTTATATTATAGTTAAGTGTAGTAGCCTTCGAAGTTATCTACATAATCACAGTTCACCGATAACTGTCTGATGCCAAAATAGGCAAACCTAAAAGTAACAGTGAACAAGACCTGTGCTATCTGCAGACTTAAAAACTAAGTATAAAATATGGGCATAGCTAACGATGCAGACAAATACCGCTTACTGAAGCTGCATTACTTGCGAACAGCATGACAGAACTACAGTGATAATATTGTAGTGATTCCACTTGTATGAAGAGAACACGACGGGTTTATTCAAAACATTCATTACTATTACAACTTGTACCGGTTTTCGTTTTACTATGCTCCTCGTTTATTCGTCCTTTGTACGTGCAACTACAATTGGCGATCCCGAATCGAAAGCTCGCTAAAACATCTGTTGCTGTTTTTCATATAGGAGGCCAGTTACGATGAGTCTGCTATTC